CGAGTGGAGGCCGGGGCCGAATTTTCGGAGCCCACATATAGCAGCAAGAATTTTAAGATTAAAATTTGAGATGTTAGGATTTTAAAATTTACCCCGGTAAACTTAAATTGGGTGGTGGAGGAATGATGACGAACTTCATAAAGATCTCATAATTATGTCATTCAGAGTTGTTGTGGTCCCTAGTTAGTCAAAGAAGATAGTCGACCCAACATGACCAAAGAATCTTTGTTGATAGCCATGGTTAGTTTCATGCAAGGGTACCTTGAAGACTCATGATGGACATTTACCTAATGGGAAAAATTCGACTGAATATTAGCTAACAAAGGACTTTTATGTCCTATCAAACATATCATGATTCATTATGCAAGAATTTTGAGCCATAGGAGAACATACTTGCTTCTAATAGTACAATTTGGAGGCAAACCACCTAATCAGAGGGCCCTGATCCTAATCGTTTACCTGTGATGTCATTTGGCAGCAGAACCACCAGATAGAAGTTGTGTTATACATCCTTATATGCAAGAGAGTGTTCGCAAATGAATTTTAGTCATGCGCTTGAATGAATATATGCTCTGTGTGTTGAAGTACTTCTCAAATTTATCCTTCCCGACAAATAATTATGGAGAATGAATGGATTTTGCTTTAGTTTTTGTTGTTTAATTTTATTTGTAAATTTCAAAAATTTAAATTTTGTTAACTATTCAAATTTTAGCATTCACTGAAATTGGAGCCCTTTGAGGCATTTTAAAATAGTTTTCCCTCCCATTGAAATTCACTATCAACATGGTTATCAATAATATATTTAGGCAATTTTATTTTATTGATTGAATCTTGTCAACTCTGTTTACTCACCAATAAAAAAACAAGTTAAACTGTTGATTTAGGGAATTATTGTAAGAATCTTGACACGAGAGTTCGTATTTTTAAAATGAATTCTCCTTAATGATGCTTTGAATGCCCAATGTGAATTTAAAAGTACACATCTCAATAGAATTTTGGATTGTATGTTCACTTTTTAATCTAAACCATGTCGACTCCAGTCCTTTTAAGGAGGATGATTAAACTTGAAATTTGAATTCATATTTAGCCCGTGCAGCATTCTCGAATCTTGAATTTAGAGGTTTTTGGATCTTGGATTTAGGAGTTTGGTACGATGGTTAGAGCACATGCTAGTACATAATTTAAAAATAGGATTTTTTT